GGTGAGTCTAAAATGTGATGGGGTAGAATGTTAAGCTGGAGACCCAGAGAAGAGCTGCAGTTCAAGTCTGAAGGCTGTCTGCTGGCAGAATCCTGGAGGTCAGTCTCTGTTCTATTATGGTCTTCAACTGATTAGATGAGGCTCACCCACATTATGGAGGTTCACCAATTTACAGGTTAATGTCATCCAAAAAAACACCCTCACAGAAACATCTAGAATGCTTTGACCAAATCTCTGGGCATGATGGTCCAGCCAAGTTGATATATCAAATTAACCATCACACACACTAAGCTTCAGAAAGTTACCTCCCAGGCTGAGTTTGCACAGCAGTGAGAGGCAAGGCTGGGGATTTAACCAAGGTCTCTGGTTCTAATGCTTGAGTTCTCTTCCTGATCTTCTATCGCCCGTGTCAGTAAATCAGGGAAAAGGACATGTTATTCATGGTTAGCCTCATGTTGATTAGATGGCGTACTCATGGGATGCTCATTCATTCTTCTAAAGGTCTTCAATGAGTGCTCCCAAGGTCCACAGAGTATAGACCAGGAGCTGTACCCCTGGGAAGTGAGGCACAAGAGACCTTTGCAGAGCTACTTCTCCCCAGAGTGTGCAAGTAGGCTGTGCCTTGGAAGTACATGGTTGGCTTTGGAAGTCAGGACAAACTTGGTGAACTACTTGAGGATCCCTCGGCGAATGGGTAGAATATTCCAGGTGAGCAGCGTGCTGCACAGAGTCTCACTGTATGTTCAGAGGATATTCCTGGAATATGCAGGGGACACATGGGTGAAGAAAGATGGAGCTCCTCCCTGGCTGCCTTGAGAAGAGGAGGTACCCCCACCCCTACATTAGGGCTCTGGGTGATAGAGTTGGGGGTAGGGAGTGAATCACATGATCTTGGAAGGGGCCCTCCTGCTTCACAGCCTCTTCCGGGCTCGCCAGCCTCAAAAATCGGCTCCTTAGCACTGAGATTTGCACATTTTATAAGCTTCACCGATTACTTTGTCTGACAAAGCCTGAGTAAGCTCACCTGGGCGGGGATGGAACCTCCTGTCTCCCAGACCTGGAATATTCTGCCACACAGACTCACTTGGTCTGTTCCCGTCCTCCTCATGTTCCCCACCCACCACCTCTGACTCTCTAGCCCTCGCTCGCCTCATCTTTAATTCCTTCCCTTCTCTCACTTTGCCTGGATAGAGTTAATGAGGACATTACAAAAAGAGTTAATTCTAAGTGAGTTAATGAGGATATTCTATTTCTCATTAGGTCTGCCTCTTCATTTCTGTTTGGCCCGCTGCTGCTAATTTCTATAAATTCCACTTCATTTCCTCATGATTGTGGACAATTAGATTGGCCTGTGTGTGATTTCCAAAGGAGGATGGTCACACCACAGCTCCTGATACTAGAAATTAGTCATAAAACGCTCTCATGCTTCAGTAACTTTTCTGCATCCTTTTTTTTCCCTAAAAATAGTTGAAAATAGATACCATTTATTTAATATTTGCCATCTGCTGGGTGATATAGACAACAGTTATAAAAGCGGGATTCCAATTGAGAGGAAATGTGGTTAGAACATACAGTGGGGCATAGAGACAATGGTTGACTTTCCCAGACAGTTACTGAGCCTGTGGTGGAATTCAAGAGAATTGAATGAATGCACAAGAGGAGAATGAAATCACAAAAGGAGAGTCTGTGACACTCAGGAAAAGGACTGTGACTGACAGATGCCTGGGGAACATCAACATCTAGGTGGGAAGAGAGGAATTAGGAGAGAAACCACACAAGGGAAGTGGTAGTGATGGTAAGACATCCCTGAGTGAGGGAACTGCTTCAAGAAAGGGGTGGTGTAAGCATTTCAAAGGACCTGAGAATGAAGAGTGACAAGACTGGATTCATCTGAAAGACCAAGTGACCTTAGAAAGAGCAATTGCAAGGATTCAAGGTAGGATGTCAGAAGGTAGCTGAAAGGTGAGGGGGATTTGGGGACATAGTGGACTGCACTTAATTCCCAAGTAGAGTGTGGTACTTTCCAGTTCCAGAATTTACTTGCAATCTGCCTCATCTTGGTTGAATTAAATAGAATTCACACCAACTTAGTAGGAATAAGGGTCTTTCATCAGCCTTTTTTGTTGTGGTATTAAAGATGTTGTAGAAAACACACAGAATTGGAGTCAGAGGAACTAGGTTAGGTGAAAGTCCTTAATGTGTGATCTTGGGCTGAACATTGATCAGATATGGCTTGTTTTCATATATATATATATATATATATATGTGTGTGTGTGTGTGTGTGTGTGTGTGTGTGTGTGTGTGTATTCTATCAGGTCTGACAATTAAATTCGCGAACTTGTTGTAACGATGTTGCTAATCTTATTTAATATCAGAGAGATTATTCATTATGAATTTGTATCAATTGGACAGTTAACCAAGTTTACTATTTAGAAATGCTGACAAGGCTGCATGAAAACGACGAAAACGACCTGAACTTTTCGCCAACAATTCATGGCTCTTGCATCATGAAAATGTACCAGCTCACACGGCACTGTCTGTGAGGGAGTTTTTAGCCAGTAAACAAATAACTGTATTGGAACAGTTCCACCCAACGCCCCCCCCCCACCTGATCTGTTCCCCAATGACTTCTTTCTTTACCAAAGATAAAGGAAATATTGAAAGGAAGACATTTTGGTGACATTCAGGACATCAAGGGTAAGACGACGACAGCTCTGATGGCCATTCCAGAAAGAGTTCCAAAATTGCTTTGAAGTGTGGACTAGGTGCTGGTGTCGGTGCATAGCTTCCCAAGGGGAGTACTTCAAAGGTGACCATAGTGATATTCAGCAATGAGGTATGTAGCACTTTTCTGGGGTGAGGTTGCAAACTTAATTGTTAGACCTTGTAGGTTTTAAAAACTAAAAAGAATTATGCCAGTGCAAGGTATGTACAAAATCATTGTCACGCCTGTAAGCCAATGCTCAGGAATTATCCCAGTATTATATTTTGGTGGATCAATGAGGTAGGACTAAATTTGGCTGCAAACAACAGAAGACTCAACTATAATAACTTAAACACATAGGAGTTTATTTTTCTTACCTAACAAGAAGCCAAAGGAAGGTGTAGCCACTTATGGATATCATCTAGGGCCTTGGCTCCTTCTACCTTCCTGTTCCGCCATCCTTAAGCGAGTGGCTTTCGTTCTCAAGGTTACAAGATGGCTGTTGTATTTCCATGTTCTCAGAGAGAAGAAATGGGGGAAGGGTAAATAGGGAATGTCAAAGGGCTGAAGGGGCATGCCATCTGAATCTGGTCTTTTCTTAAAGAGTTTTTTGTGGCAGCTGACCCCTGCCTTATGCATGACAACCTCACCTGGCCAAGACTGGATTTAATAGCTATCCCTAGTTACGAGGGAGTCTGGGATGGTGAATATTGTGAACTTCCAGTTTTTTTCGTTGAGGAAGGAAAGGGAGAAGGGGTTTGTCAATGGCTTTTGGAAGCCAGTTTGCATTGTCTACTACAGAGCAGAACTCACCTTGCCAATGGAACCTTGATGTGAGGACGGGGAAAGACGTGGCAGTGGGGGATGATGCTCAGGAGGGCAACCTGACAGTAACCAAACAGCAGGGCTCTGGGCCCTCTGTGGCTTGGATCAAAAACATCTTGGCTGTCCCCCACCAAGAGGCCCAGCCCCCAGACTTGGCCCCTTCTGGCAATCAGCCCTAACCAGCTGCTGCCAAAGGGGTAAACACATTCCAAGTCCTTGAGTCCCTGAAGCACTGTAACAGTGGTTAAGGCACCCCCACCCCCACCCCATCTGGGCTAACAGAAAGCTCACTAGAGTTGTGATGGTTTAGTGATGATCTGCAGTTACCTGTGCCCCTTCTATTAATGGGGAGTCGAATACCTACACACTTCTGTTATCTAGCTGTACAAGCAGTTTGCTTCTCATGTGTATCATATTTATGTTCACTCTCCAATCCTTGGGAACTATGAAGGATAAAGCATTACATCCTCTTTTTCTCTACTCTGGAAGGATGGCCCTTAAACCAAGCCATGTCCCTAAGCCCTTTCAGCTAGGTGGAGACACAGAGAACCATTGGAATCCAGACCCGAGCACCTAGAAAACTCTACAATAGATCATCACCCAGCATACTGCTTGCATGCTCCTGGGATTGCAGAGGAAACAGGGACCTTACTTTGAGGGTGGTGCCAATCATGCAGGAGACAGTCGCTCTTAACTAAGGCAATTTCCAGTCCAGTCCAGGGGATGGATCACAATCACATCTAAGGGGAAAAAAAAAAGTTTTTAAGCAATTTTTAAAAGTATGAATAAGAGCTATTGTAAATGGCTGCTCAAACTGTATATAAGCAGTGGAGTAAGATGAATTGACTGGCACTGAGTTGGAAAAGCTATACAGAGGCAGGGAGTGTGGAACATAATTTTATAAAAATAAACTTTTTTTTTTTTAACGTACACACTCCCAAAGAAGAAATGGAAAAGTTGTTAGGGTGTGGACCAGGGCTTCTAATTAGCTGTTCTGTTCTGCCTGATTTATCTTCTTTCTTGCCCTAGCACCTTCCTGGGACTTACTGTCCCATGAAGGGACACTTGGGGGATGGAGAGGGCATTCCCACCACACCTGACCTCTCCAGCTGGCTCCGGCCAGGTCTTTGCGCCCGTTGCCCCCTGGAGCAGCGAGGAGAAACCTACTGCCCAGGTCGCCGCTCTTGCCTCCTTGACCCTTCCATGTTTCCAAAACAGAGGGAGCCCTGAGAAGGCTCCTTGCCAAAGTTGGAAACAGCTACCCTCATTGTCTGCCTCGCCCTGCCGGCTGCGCTCTCCCTTCCTTCCCTCCCCTCCTTTCTGTCTGAAAGTGTGAAAATTACAAATCCCAAGGAACTGCAATCAGAACTCTACCTAGGGAAAATTCAGAGTATCCTTGCCATAAATATCCCGCTCCAAGACGCCTGACGTCAGAGCGGGGCGGGCAGGAGAGCGAGGCCGGAGGGGAGGGGAGGGGAGGCGGCGTTGGTTTCTCTGAATACAGCGGAGTCCGGAGAGAGGAGCCTGAGAGCGGCCAGGAGCGCGCAGCCGGGGCTCGGGCTGCAGGGAGCGGCGCCCGCCATGGGGTCCTCGGAGTAAGTGCAGTTGACCTGCCTCTTCTGTTTCGCGTCTGCCCGTGGGGGTGGGGGCCGGGCTGGGGAGGCTTTCTGCCGGCACGTCCCCACTTTTCTCCCCCCTACTTTCTTCACAGTGCTAAACGGGTATTGGAAAGGCAGCGGCTCCACAGGCTGCCTGTTTTGTTTCTCCAAAGTGTTTGCAGGAGCCACCGGACCCTGAGTGGGCTCCCA